AAGAAAGAAAGAAAGAAAGAAAGAAAGAGAGAGAGAGAGAGAGAGAAAGAGGCCTTAACATGAAGATTTATTTTATTTATTTTATTTTATTTTGAAGATTCTTTTTCTAAACTGAATAACTACGAAGTAAAAACCACAGCAGGACCCAAGGAAATGGCTCAGTAGGTAAAGCATCTTCTTTGTAACCATGAGGACCTGAGTTCATATCCCCAGCATCCATATAAAGAGGTGGGTATAGCTGTGTGTGTCTATAACCTCTGGGGTGGCAGAGCCAGTTGGATCCCTGAACCTCATTGGTCAGCTAGCCTAGCCAAATCAAGGAATTCCAGGTTCAGTGAGAGACTTGGTCCCCAAAAATAAAGGCAGAGAGAGACTGAGGAAAATAAGAGATATGGATCTCTGACCTTCATGAACATGTGTGCATATATGCCCATGCACATTTGTGCACATGCCCACACTAGCAAGTACATGCCCCCTCACACATACACACACCAGACACACCACATCATGCAGGTGCTCTCTCTCTCTCTGCCTCTCTCTCTCTCTCTCTCTCTCTCTCTCACACACACACACACACACACACACACAAAACAACAACAAAATCTTCAAGGCAACCCCTTAGTCACTCCAAGCTTCTTAAGTACCCTGCTCTGTGATATGCCCACAAGGTAATTGGCTTCTAGCCGTCACGGTGGCTCTTGGGGGTACAGAGGTGCATGCTTGCTATGCAGAAGAAGTTGAGGCCCATAGGTGTCACTTATCCAAAGTAGTAGATTCAAGGTGTCTTGGTAGACTGAGGCATTCTCTTTTTTTAAATCTTTTTGAGACAGTGTCTCTCTGTAGCCCAAGCTGGCCTGGAACTCACTATGTAGACCAGGCTGGCCTTGAACTCATAGAGATACACCTTTGCTGGGATTAAAGTCATGTGCCACCATCCCTGGCTAGACTGAGGCACTCTTGCAATAGCAAGCCTCCTATATACCATATCCACACAGGGATGGAATGCACAACAAGGGGACTGAGACCCTACTCTTGAATTTGAACCAGGCAGAGACAGGAGTCACTACCACAAAGCCATGGTCCCTTCATGTCACATGAGTTTCTGACATGCTCTCCCCTATTTGAGATGAGGCAGTGCTATAAGGCTGCTTTGAGTAGAAGACTGGAAGGTGGGAGGAATCACAACAGGCTTAAGTTTGAGTGCCAACTTGACTGCACTTAGAATCACCTAAGACACCTCTCAGTGCGTCTGTGTGCTACTTGAGGAAGGAAGACCCACCCTGAATGCGGGTGGCACTGTCCCATGGGCTGAGGGTCCAAGACTGAACAAAAAGGAGAAAGTAAGCTGAGCACCAATGTTCATCTCTGTTCACTTCCTGACTGCAGATGCAATGTAGCCAGCAGCCTCCAGGGCCTGCCACCATGCCTTCCCCACCGTGATGGATCATATCCTCAAACTGTGAGCCAGAATAAACCTTTCTTT